AAGACGAGTAATGTTAAACTACCTTGCCATTACTTGAAATGTATCTCTAGTGTAATGTAGTCGCATTTGTTTCATGTTGTGAATTGTTGTGATGGCTTACTCTGTGATAAAGTATTTACTACCCATCGTGAGCTCGTTTACGGCTTTTCAAAGCCGCTAACATGCACTTTTAGTAGAAGCACCCCAAAACAGATTGGACACTACAAAATGTAAAACAAACCGACGAGGATGGGATTCGAACCCACGCGTGCAGAGCACATTGGATTAGCAGTCCAACGCCTTAACCACTCGGCCACCTCGTCCGCGCTCTAATAAGTGGCACAGTGGAAAAGAAAAGAAAAAGCAACAAACCAGCCTAAGCAAAACAAGTGTGCTCAAACGAGTGTTTCACAATTTTACGGCAGCTTTTCGTTCACCACAATTATTCCCCGTGGGTCATTGTTCTTTTAAGACATCATTATACCAGTGGCAGTTAAAATAAGAGTAAATGTTTGACAATAATTCAGCAAAATTGGTGCACATTCTTCAAGGCATGTCTTTAGACCTTTCTTTTTCTTTTATAATTATTTTTTTCGGTGGGGGCGCATAACGATATCCCTGGGAAAGAAATCTAGCCTGCAGAGTAGGCGTAACTTTGGTAAAAATTATAGTAGCAAGCTTTGATTTCGGCAGCAGCAGTTTCTCTCTTGAAGAGATAAACTTTGTACCAAGGGTGTGAGTGACGGTTTTTAAACGATCGCGAGCCTGTAACGTCAATGCATCCTAATAAGACGCTTTCATTGCAAGCTGAAAGAAATCCAACCATGATACCGAGGTCACAATTGCCAAAAACTAAAAGCTAAATTTACGACTAAGAATTTTGATGAGCTTCAGCCGGCAAAATTTGTTAAAGGGAAAAATTTAAACAAAACATTAAATTGTATCAAACATTTGAGGGAGATTTGACAGACATTTTGGAATGGAATCCAGTAGAGTCGCACTGAGTTTGATTGATTCGTGTGCGCCGGCGCGTTTCTGGAGTCGTAGCAGCGGTAAAAATAATGCAGTGATATCTTAAAGCGCCCCTGAGACGAAAATTGACCATTTTCTTTTGGGCTAATTCTTTTATAGAATGTTGAATTGGGTCAAGTTAAAATCCTTTTTTGCCATTAAAAACTCAAAATAAACCTTCGATAACCAATTTTTACCGCTTCAAAGTCGTCCAAAAATCGTCCGCCATTGCTGAAAACATTCCAGCCGAGCCCGCAATGGTACAGCAGGAAACGTCATCATGACTTCAAAGGCTCGACAAACTTATGCTTTGCATTGTCACAACTCTCTATGTCCGCTGCAAAGAGAATCACACATATTGCTTTTTTGAGAACTATTTCGTTGTCAGTCGTGAAATGTCGATTTTGTCTGACGATGAGTTGTCCCAGAAATCATTTGAAGCTTCTGTGGATAGTTTTGCGCAAGCAAACGATGAATTTTTGCCATGCGAATAAAGATAAATACAGAATGGCACGGACTCCCCATGTGGCCTTTGTGGTCACATTGCTTTATCGCCTTCGAATTGTATTTTTGCTTGTCGTAAGGGATTTTCCTTTTTTTGTAAGAAATGATCGAGTGATATATAAAAATTGTTTTCGGCAATGACTGATTGTGTATCAAGGCTAGGCGGATATTGGGAGTTTGTGAAAGCCATCATTTCTAAGCCATTTATGTGTTTGCCCCGATACATTTGGTCAATGATCTCATTAACGCTTTCCTGCGTGTTTTTTTTACCATCGGTCGGCTTTGAGAGGCTTGAAGTGAACTCTGTTGTTGAGTTGCACTTCGGCCTCTTGTTTTTTCTATCTTATTCATGATGACTATTGTTGTCAGTGCTTCGGAGAGGTTCAAAGCAGAGTTTGTTTCAACTCTTTCAAAGCCGTGACCTCGTTGCATTACAAAGTATTTTTTGGCTTAGATACAGTCTGCAAATTGTGTTATGACAATTTTCCAAGTATCTCTGAAGGGCGATAGAAGTCTGAGCCGGTAGCATTCAGTTTGATATGAAACGGTAATGGTTCTTTGTTTTGTCCGTGAAAGGTGTAACGGAGGCACATTCGTCTTGCGAATAAATCTCGCAAAAGTTGGCCTGATTTCACATTCGTTTATCACGGGTGTTGGGATGACTGTTTGAGACCCTTAGATAGCACCCTGGCTTGGCTGTCAGATGGTTGATAGTTTGAGAGGAAATACATTTTCATTTTCTCGGATTTTTGGCTGGAAGCCTACATTTTAAAGTGTTTCTACGCTCCCTGATGTGTCTTAAGCTGTTTGTTCTACTTTCGCTGATACTAAAGCCAGAGCACACAATTGTATTTTTCATCTCTTTTGTCTAAAAGTGAGCTCCTTGAGGTCAGAAATGTCATTCCTCAACTCGGCTATTTTATCATTCTTATTTACAATGTTCACCGAGTACTTTCCTTTGTGGAGGGTATTCTGCCAGAGAGTTGTTAAAGGTGGATATTGATCAGCGCATATGTAAAGGTGACAAAACCCGTGGAAGTTCGTAGACTTCACTTTCGTCGAGATCGCACAGAGGACGTTTTTTCTTGTCCCTTTTTTTAAACAGTAGGCACTGAACCCGACAGAATTCTTCGCCTAGATCTTTCAAGGTACACAGATCTCTCGAAACAGTCCTCCGGGAAGTGTTCGGAGTAGATCACAAATATTCCTGCAGGATTGAAGTTTGCTCGGCGAGTTCGCACAAATCGCATCCGTTTGTCCCGCTGTGATCTATTTGCAAGGCTCCGATGCAGAGAAATACCTACAGCATGGTCTGCACGACTACTTCAGCTTTGAATTACGCATCGAGCCTAGTCATTTTTGTTTATTTTTTGTAAGAATAGAGTAAAGCACTCTGTTATGTTTTCTTGACATTTCGCCATGTGAGATTTTCGCGTTAAGCCTTTGACGTCACTTCCTCTGAGTCCTGCGATCAACTTCGGGAACATGGTCGAATAATGGCGGACACGAAATCGCGAATTTAACGGCCCGAAAAAAGATATTTCTGGTGCTCGGTCTATACTGAAATTTGGCAGAGTAACTGAAGGAGAAACATTGAACACGAAAATGAAAAAAAATGATATAAGTAAAGTTCGATCTCAGGGGCACTTTAAGAAACCTTTATAAAAGAACTGAGATATTACGAGTGCCCAAATTGGAGAAAAACCTAACGTCATTGTACCGATGAACCCATTGAAAACTTAGACTTACTTCATGAAAACAAAAGACCTCACTTTTTATAGGTTGACTGACATAATAACCCACGCGGGACGTTGAGAGACACGTCTGGAATTAACACCACTAAACCAATAGAAAATGCATTCTATTACAGTAAATAAAAGATGGCTTTTATTTCTTTTTACTGCAACCGTTTTGTTTACATTCAGTGATAGATAATCCCGAACAGATAATTGTTGACAATTCAGTGGTTAGCTAACGAATAATGATGCCTTGACTATGCTCTGTTCCGTTGTAAAGAACGCACCATGGCCAAGCGGCTAGAGCACGAAGGAAGTGGAGAAACACGAGACGTAATCACTTGTTTCTCCCCATTTTTAGCGCTTTAGCCGCTTCCTAACTGCTCTACAACAGAACAGAGCACACTGATGGCTTGCACGGCCCAACTATCATGCTTAGGATCTGGGCATCCAGAAGCTTTATACAGCCATACTAACAACTTTATATAACTTCAATTTCTGATGTATCGGTGAAAGGCAAGGACTAACTGGGGACGATCCAACTGACATAAAAATACAATTAAATTACTTACAATAACAGGTAAATGATACTAAGCTAAATCTATGTACAATTAGAAGAAAATATATTCCCTAAGATTCCAAAAATGAGAGAGGT